TCAATTAATTATTATAATGCATAAACTATAACTAATAGGCAATTTTAAATGAAGTATTTCCCGAATTTTTAACAATCTTTTGGTAACAAAAAGATTGTTTTACAACCTTCCAAAACAAATGCGCATCGATCATTGTCTTATTAATTGCATCCGATTACATAATAAACATTATTTACAATTATTATTATATAAATTACAATTACAATACATAATATTTCCAATTTTATTATATAAATAACACAATAATATACATTTATTATTACATAAAAATTACAAATACAATACATAACATTTATAAAAATATTTTACATTGTCTCTAAGAATTAATTTAAAATTAATAACATAATTTTTAAGTTGTTATTATTATTAAAAATATAATAACAAATGCAATTATATATTATTATTTTATATAATAATAAATAATTTAATATTTAATACAATAATAATAAATCGACATACTTGTAATTATTATATATAAGTTATTATTATTTTGTCTATAATAAAATCTTTTCAACTCTATTTCTCAAATTATTAACACTTCTATTTGACCGAATCCCTACTTACTCGTATTCCAATTTATATTCCTACTTGACCATATTTTTTCATATCCATTTACCTATCTACCCGCATATTTCAACTTAATGAAAAAAAATCTTTAATTAAAATCGCGACGCGATATGCGACTTACTAAGGAAACTGATTTTTTAGTTAATCCAGCAAAATACCTGAAATCTACTCGAGCGATAAATCTAAGAATCAGAGTTTCAAATATATGCGCGTGATTGGATCTCGTACATATGAGAAAGTAGAGGAAAATATATAGAGAAAATCAAACAAATAAATAACAATTTTGTACATTACCTTATACTCCACGTGATCAAAATTAATCATTTACCTTATTCTTTCCGTTATATTTTTCCTTCTTTCATCAGGCCAGATTGGATTTACCTTTCGTCTGACCAGACTAAGCATTTCAATTAAAAATCGATAAGAGATACCTCCTTGCTGGCGAATTATTATTATCGCGAACAAATAATTATACGTTCGATTGTATGTAATACATATGGGAGAAGATCGTACAGAAAAATTTAAATTAATGAAAAATTATTTAAAGAGAATATTGATAATAACCGTAAAAATTGTACAAAATTGAAGATATGTTCACAAATTTCAGTACTTGCATAAGAATTTTGATTCAAATTCTTCATGACATACGTTGCTTGGAATTTTATTTAAGCTTAAAAAGACTTTACTTGTCATGTTATATGTGTATTAATGCTGTTCTAGACAAAAAACTTTACATATTTCGCGAAAAATTGAAATTTATAATATTAGTAATATTTTAATGATCAAAAATCGGTAAATAATAAGTAAAATAATAATAGAAAATTTGATGATGCAATAGTGAAGATATAATGCATGTATATAATAAGTATCTTCAAAGCAAAGTAAAATACACAAAACAAAATAAATGACATAAGATCTGAATATATTTATCGTTGCAAATATATTTATTAATTTTAATATTTATTATTTTTTAATTCCAGCGTTATTCATTTCCCTTTTCCCAATGCGTCAAGACTCTATTTCTGATAATTCTTTTATAATCTTTCCCTTTGATTTTCCTTCTGCAATAAATTCCACCCATCGCATATCTCAATTTATCTTCACAGAAATCTTCTAAATATTTCGAGAATGTTTTATGTCTCGGTTGCTGCAACTCCATAGCACATGCAAAAGACGATGCAGATTGCGCGAAATGGCGATTTGTTACGTTCGATGCAGACGTGAGACCGACAGTGAAATCGTTGCGAATACAGCCGGCTTCTCGTATCACGTTTAACGCGCGTCTAACGCCTTTATAACTACAATACTCTGCAAACCACAATAGTTTGTGTCACAACAAGTGTGCAAATCACGCGGCTGATAGACGCGACATGAAGCAATCCATTTTCTGGGGCGCTATTGCCCACATCCCTCGTGCGTTAATCATGGTTAATTCGGCTTATCGGCTTCCTAGACACTAGTCTTACGAGACAAGCTCGACAAACCGATAACGTGGCGAGAATTGGGCACGCATTGCAACGATTTTATTATCCGGACCGTATCTCGAATTTATACAAATTTCGAGTAAAATGTTTACCGAAAATGTTTCCGAAGAAACGCATTGTTTATTCAATAAAATTAAAATTTATCCAATTCAATAAATTCATTGCATGTGCCATGAGGAAGCTGCAATAGAAATGTTAAATGACACATGAAAAATTTAAAAAAAAAATTTAAAAGAAATTTAAAACAAAAAGAATAAGATATTGAGAGGGTTGAAACCGAGAAGCAATTATAGAAGGAAGATAAATAAAGAAACATGTAACGGGAAAAGAGAAGAGAATAATTCTTGAAAAATTACATGGATTGGTGATTTACGATGTATGTATTAGAATTGCTTTTTATAATTTTTATATTTAATTTGTATTATTTTTCAGTTTCATTTTGAACGCATATTAAATGTGACATTAAAACATATTGATTTTAAATTAAATGTAATAAATTTAATAAATTTTTATGGCAATTATATACCTAGCTAATTTTTTTTTATATTTTTATCTTCATATCACGCTATATGCAAACGCTGTTGTAACTTTGGAATCAAAGTATTTCTATATAATATTTAACATAATAGTATAATAGTTATTTACAATTATATAAAAAAAAAATTTGTATTACCATGCATCGATCATGGACATGTTACACATATTACCAAAATAAGTTTCTGTTTTCTATCTGATTTTTGAAAAATGTATTTAAACTCGATATAATTATGAAGTATAATTGTTATTTCTAACACAGTTATCGTTTTATTAAAAAAAAAAAATTTTCTTTACTAATGTAATTCATAATTTAACAGTTTACATTAGATTTACAATAATCTTAAATTATGTCTGCGACTCTTGTGTTTACACAATGTTTATATGAAATAAAAATGATTACAAAGATACAACGAAAAAGCAAGAAAATTGAATTATCATAGATCTACATTATGACCGTATTTATAGCATCATCTAGATAATTCTATTTATTTTAAAATTTCATAGATAAATCTGCGGAAATCTTTGTATTTATCTCACTAATAATAGTTTCATCATATTGACACTCCATCATTACTTTAAATTATACTTGTTCTCTTATCGTACTGAAAGTTTAACATACTGAAAGTGGCCCAGTTTCAGCCGAATTTATAATTTATTGTTTATACATATATGTATATTTAAATGTAACTACTACGCGAAAAAACCCTGCGTTGTGACTTATAAGCTCCTTATCAGTTGCATTTATATTGCTGTTATATCACTTATATCTAGTAATATGTACTATATAATATGTACTATATAAAAGTTTTTATAGACAAATTTTAATGAAAACGTTAATATAATTTGAAAAGTTCTTGTGTTCCGTGACTTATAAGATTTTATATCAATTATTTTGCTTGTAAATTTATTTTATCAGTCAATAAGTTACAAACTATTATGTTAAAATTGATGCTGTGTGTGTTCAAGAATTAATTATTTATAGTCATATATAGTATTGCATTTTATATGAATATGTAAAATAAGATTAGTTAATCGTTGTAAAATATTATTGTAAACAAGGACAATTTTTTATTTGTACGCATTCAAAAGATATTTTTAAACATGTACATATTTTATCTTTGCACTAATTTGTATCATATTTAATCTTGGATGAATATTTGAGAATGGGATTAAGAAAAATAAATATATAATTTGTTTAATTATAGATTTTACTGTATCAAAAGATAATTTTTTATTTTTATGTCATATATATTGAATATGTATATTATATATGAATATCCTATAATTTTTTTAAAAAGAGATCTGTCGAAATTTTTGTATTTTAAAATTCATAATATTTTGTACGAAAATTTATTTTTTTTATTTCATTATTTTTATTTCATCAATTTTAAAAATCAATTATTTCAATAATTTTTTTGTATTTATCAAAATGCGACTTCGTGTATAAACATTTTTTTTATTTATATTGCCAGTAAAGAAAGGAATTTTTGTTGGTATTCTTTGAATTTAAAAATTTAATCGTTTCTAATATGTATGAATTACATAATAATTCAGTAAAATTAATTCATATTTTCTCTCTCTTATTATGATTTTATTAATATTATATTTATAACACTAATTCATCATTGAATTCTATTTCACTTTTTTTTATGTGTATACTTGTGTGAATACTTGAGAAAAAATGTTATTTATATATATATATATATATATATATATATATATATATGTGTGTGTACATGCACATACTATACATATACCATATTTATAGTC